TTTTGTCCGCGACCCGAGGGGGTCTGAGCCCCCCTCTCTAAGAGACGATCGCCGGGCCTCCACCTGGGGGATCTGATCCTAGATGTTGGTGTTGGCGGTGATGTTTCGGCCACCCAGGAAGTCCGAATACGACCACCATCGCCGATGTAGGGATCATCCTCCCTCGCTGAAGGCGCACCGCCGACATTGGTGCTGGTGTTAGCCTCTGGGCCTCCGACCGGACGGGGAGGAGGGCAAAGACCAGCGCACGCCCAGAACATATACTGCATATGTTCTGGGCGTGTGGACGTGGGCGTGTGGGTGTGGATGTGTGGGTGTGTGTGTGGGTGTTTTGGTGTGTGTGTGTGTGTGCTTGTGTGTGTGTGTTTGTGTGTGTGTGTGGGTGTGGGTGGGTGTCTGTGTGTGTGTGTGTCTGTGTGTGTGTGTGTCTGTGTGTGTCTGTGTGCATATGATACACACACGCACGCACGCCAGTGATGCCGCTGCACCACCGAGGCTGCAGCACACGCCGCTCCAGGGCCCCAAGGGCCCAGCGCTCCTCCGTGCGAGCGCCTGCCTCGGCAGGGCAGGCGCCCCCCTGAGGAAACCAGCGGGTACCATCCTCCTCCTCCTGCTCCTCCTCCTCCTCCTCCTCCTCCTCCTCCTCCTCCTCCTTCTCCTCCTCCTCCTCCTTCCTACTGCTCCTACTACGTCCTACCCCCCTCCTCCTCCCCCCTCCCCCTCCCACCACCCCGCCCTCTCCTCCCTCCATCCTCCCCTCCTCCTCAACCACGCACCTAATCATACTCCTCATCGTAAACGCTCCTCCGCCTCCTACTCACCCAGCTCCTCCCTATCCGCCTAATCCTCCTCCTCCTCCTCCGATAAACCGCTGCCCCCCGCATCGCGCTCTGACCAGGATTTCGAGGCGACCCCGGCGGTGGCGACACAGGGCCTCCGGAGAGAGGCAACCGCCGGGCCTCCAGGTAGCGCCGCTCGGTGAGCTCCGCCTCCCGCAGCGCGTGCTGCGCCTCGTCCAGCGCCGCGGCGTCCGCCTCGCGGGCGGCGCGGAGCGAGTGCAGCTCCTCCCGCAGGCGCTCCGTGTCCTCGCCCGCCGCCGCGGGGGCGTCCTCTGCCTGCGGCGGAGAAAAAAACACGTAAATCATGGGCGGAAAACCCGTGCCCCCTCGCGTTGTGGAGACAAATGAGGCGGTAGGTCTTTCCAATCGGCTTGCCGCTGGCGCCTAGCTGGATTACACAAGTCCCGGGTAGACCCTCAGAGAGCAAAAAAGGATGTTAGAGAAGAAGCTGGCAAGCATGGCTAGGCGAGGTTCCTCTACACCGCTACCGGGCAAGCATCCCCGAAGCGAATGGCTGGAACCGGCGGATTGTCTCGGCCTCTGGGGGCCCTCGCATGGGCCACGGGACCGTAACAACAACGACTCGGGATGAACAACCCGGCCTGGGGAAGGGGCAGGAGAGCCCAGAATCGAATCGATAAGGCGGATCGGCGGTCGAAATCAATCGGATCGGCCGAAATCGGCAGCCGAATCGGGAACAGACGAATCGGCGGAGATCGGCAGTTTAGTAAGCCTCCATTGAAAAGTCGGAGCCCAAATCGGAATCCGAAGTCGAATCGAATCGGGATCGGAAGCCACCGAAATCGAATCGAATCGAATCGGGAGAATCGAGATAGGCCCTGAAGGGGTCCAGACCTCCGGGGGGCCACGTCGCAAAAAGCAAAAAGCATGACGTCAGATATCCGAGCCTGTGCCTTGGCGGCGCGCACAGAGGGGGTGGAAGGGAGGGGGGAGGGCCTCTTAGAAGGAGGCTGCTTCGCAAAGGCGCCGGCCTTACATCTGTGGATAAGTCCCGCGCCTTCCAAGAAGCAGGGGTGCCTTCGCGGGCCGGGCCCCGAGGCCGCGGCCCTGCGGATACGTTTTTGTTGCTGCGCATGCCCCGCACGGAACGTACTGCTTGGAACTTCTGCTCCGCGTGTCGCGGCGGCGGCCCTGGCGACACACTGTGCCCTGCGAGCGGATAGCGCGTCGCTCCTCTCCGCGGGGCGGGAGGCTTGGAGAGGCTCGGGACGTGGACGCCTGGGGACCGGGATGCGGACAGCGTGTTGCGCCGAAGCCCTTTGGGCCAGAACCGGCGAAGAAACACGATAATTGACCGAAAGTTGCCGACCACAAGCTACGGTGAGGGCATCGAATGAGGAACCTTCACTAAGGAACCCAGGGTCTGAGAACCTCGTGGAGCGCGAACTGAGGCGTGGCCATGGATGTCACCTCTGCTCCCCTCAGGTACGGAATCTTCCAGGGTCTGGAGCTTCCTGGGCACATTCACTGAAAAAGCGCCCCCACCGTATCGGAGGTCCGCGCGGACCTCCGACGGCGAACCTTTGTGCAATGTGCTGTGGTCCTCGAGCCTGGCGGCCAAGCCGCTGCTCGAGCTCGCGGATGCGGTGCTCCTTCGGCGAGGCGGGGATTTGCCCCGCCCTCGCTCGGGCGCCGGGGACCTCAGCACGAGGAGGAGGAGGAGGCGGAGATAGGGAGGAGGCGGAGATTGGGAGGAGGAGGGGGAGGAGGAGGATGATGATGATGAGGAGGAGGAGGAGGAGGAGGAAGAAAAGGATTCCCCCCTGGGACCACCCCGCCCTGGGGAGGAGGACCGGAGGAGGACACCTGCCCCCCCCCCCCCCCCCCCCCAAAGGGGCTCCAGGGCCCGGACACCCAGGTCCTCCGCCTGCCGAGGTCCCCAGGCAGCCGTCGGCGCGATGCTGCTCGCAGCGTGGGCCCCTGGAGGTCGGGACCCCCCCCCCCCGGGACCAGTTGTTCATCTTGAACCGCTTTTGTTGACGGTCCCGGGGCCCGCTGAAGGCCCGTGGAGGCCGAGACTGACTGTAACAAGACCGTCCGTCGGTTTTTTGTTGTTCTCTCTTCTGGCAAGAAAGCAGATGTCGGGGTCGCCGCAGGGGGGAGAGCCGAAGGGTACGGATATGCTGCTGCTCCCCAGACCTCTCCCCGGGCGCGTTCTGGAAAGAATTCCGAAGCGAACCCAGCGATGGCGACGAGGGCCTTCCCGGAGACCGAAAAATGCAAAACTATGGGAGAGGAACGGTATGTGTACCTTGTCCCACTCTGAGAAGATCGATCCCCCAAGCGGTGGTGATGGACAAATCCCCGCCACGGGTCCTTCTCTTCCAGCTGCTCCCGGGCCTGTCGCGCCTCTTTGGCGGCACGCGCAAAGGGGGGGGGGGGGAAGGGCGCGAGTGGGGGGGGGTCGGCCCTCTGAGAAGGCGATCCTCGATCCCCGATCCCCCTCGATCCTCGATCCCTGATTCTCGGTGCGCCTCCTCCTCCTCCTCCTCCTCCTCCTCCTCCTCCTCCTCCTGCCCCCTCCTCCTCATCCTGCTCCTGGTCCTGCTCTTGCTCCTGCTCCTGCTCCTGCTCATCCTCCTTCTCCTCCTCCTCCTCCTCCTCCTCCTCCTCCTCCTCCGCCTCCTCCTCCTCCTGAGCACAGCTCCACGGCAGACTTAGTCCGTCCACTGCAGGCAGAGCAGAGGCAGGTGGCGCATCCCCCCTCGACCGGGACCAGCTCCGCCACTGCATGCTCGAAAGCGACGCGTCCACGCGTCGACCGGCTCAGCCCCTCGAGGGGCAGCGGATCCTGCAACAAAGCGCTTCGCACTCGGAAGCGGACCTCGCGACCTCGCGATGGCAAACGGCGCACGCACCCGTGGAGGCCAGACCGAACGGAACGGAGCCCGGGCCCCGACCAAGCGCGGGCAGCGTGGGGGGCCCAGGGACGCGGCACCAGCGAGGAGCCCTGGCGCCACGATCAACATACGTGGCGCCCCGCAGTCGCGGGTAAGAGTTAGTTTGGGCGTGTCCCCCTTACAAGGGGGATTTTGGACAAAAAATACCCCCCAAAATCGCCCCAAGATGTTCAAACAGGCTTGTTCCTTGATCAAAAAACCAAGACTATATCTGGACTATTTTTGAATATTTCGAATGTAAAAGGACAGGCCCGACTTAAGATAAGAGTGAGTGGGCGGCGGGGACGTCTGCGGTCTGCGAAGCTCTGAAGAAGCCCGCCGCGGGCGCCTAACTTGTCAAGTAGAGATTTACAACGAGCCCGAAACCGCCGACTATTTTTCGTTAGAGCAATATTGGTGGGTCGCGGGCCGGGTCGCGGGTGGGTGGCGGGTGGGTCACGTTGGGTCGCGGGTGGGTCGCGGGCCGGGTCACGGGTGGGTCGCGAAGTGGATCGCGGGCCGGGTCGCGGGTGGGTCGCGGGCAGGTCGCATCGTGGGTCGCGGGTGAATCACGGGTGGGTCGCGGGGTGGGTTGCAGGTGGGTCGCGCGGTGGGTCGCGGGCGGGTCCCGGTTGGGTCGCGGGCGGGTCGCGGCGCAGGTCGCGGGCGGGTCGCGGGCCAGGTCGGAGGGGGACGACGCCAGACCGCAGCAACAACAACAACATCAGCATCAACCTCAACAACAACAAATACAACAACAGCAATACTAACATCATCAACAACAACAACAACAACACCAACAACACCAACAACACCAACAACAACAACAACAACACCAACACCAACAACAACAACAACAACACCAACAACAACAACAATTACTAGCACGTGGGGACACTCCGTTCTCACCAGTGCCAGGGTTTTCATAGGAGGCGGGCAATACCCCCACTTTGTGGGGGGGCCGGTTCAAGCTCTACCAAATTTCCAAACGACTCTTCGCCACCACCCACACCCAGCTTCCCGCCCTATGACGTTCGGACACTTCACTTCGTGGCATGCGGACGACCGTGGCTACTATTCAGGGCCCCGCGGCCGACGACGACGGCGTGCGCGCGCGAAGAAAAAACGAATGTGTCCCGCATGGTATTATTTGACAGGGATGATGGCCCTGGCAGGTGCGCAACCGTTGTCGCAGAAGTTCGAAAAAGTTGCTCGCAAAAGCCCGTTTGACAGAAATGTTTAAAAAGTGTTGGGTTTCCTACGAATCCGCAAGAGCGCGCGGGATGAGATTTTGACATTTTTTTGTTGAAAAACCATTGGTTTTTTGATGTTTTTATGTTAAAATCGCTCCGAACACTAAGCTTTTGGAAGGATTTCGTCTTGCGCGCGCGAATGTCCACTTTACCTTATTTTTTGCAAGGGATTCTTGAAATTTGATTATATTAGAACAAGAAATGTCATTTTCTATTGTTTTTTGCAAGGGAAAGCGGATTACAACAAAACAACCGGATCCTGTACACACCCTTTTTTCTGAGGCTTCCTCACGAAAATGATGAAACTGTAGCTGCGGCCTAGGCGGCGCAGGGGGGGCGCGCACCAGGGGGCCCAACAATAATTATTCTTTAGAATAATTAATGTTCAACAACACCAACAATAACAACAATAATTCTAAGACTGTTCGCTCATACATGCCCGCGTGTCATTCAAAACGAATCTTCCACACCCTCGATGGGGGGATTATTTCTCTTTGCGGGGGGCGGCGGGCTTAGACAGACGGGCAAACCTGAACGGGCGGACAATCCTTCGTGGGCGTACGTGTGCCCGCCATTAGAATTGGTGTGGGCCCTGCAAAAAGAGGAAAGGGAGATCGAGGGAGACTGGGAGGAAGGGAGGGGGAGGGACGAAGGAAGAGGGAAAACGCCAGGAGAGAAGGAGCGAAGAGGGGGATGGTTGATTAGAGGCAGAGAGAGAGATGGAGAGAGAGAGAGAGAGAGACAGAGAGAGAGAGAGAGAAATAAACGCAGATAAGAGAGATAGAGCAAGAGAGAGAGAGGGGAAAGAGAGAGAGAGAGAGAGAAAGAGAGAAATAAAGACAGAGGGAGGGAGGAGGCAGGAGGCAGGAGAGGGGAAGGAGAAAGGAGGGAGAGGAGGGAGAGGGGATAAGGCAGAGAGGCAGAATGATGAGGGAAGAGAGGAGGAAGAGAGAAGGGAGGAGAGGATGGAAGAGGGAGGAGGTAGGAGGGAGGAGGAGCAGGAAGATCAGAGCGTGAGCGTTCGAGGAAGTCTTAGGCGAAAACGCAGTTTCTGAAGGAAGTCTCGGGCGGGAGCCCACGACGGGCGGGCGATCCCCTGATGGGCGGGTCGGGCGGGTGGGACTTTCAAGCGGGATGCCTGAGTATGGCGAGAGCGCGATTACTAAGTAAATTGTAACGGCGTCCTTGGCGCAGCGTGTTTTCTAAGCGTCGGAAGCGCGACGTCAGAATCAATTGCATGGAAGTCATAAGCGAAAGCGCAATTCCTGAATAAAATGTGAAGGGCTCTCTGGCGGGAGCGGGGGTCTTGATAAACTTGGAGGAAGGCTTGGCTCAATTGCGAGGAAATCTCAAGCGTGAACGCCGTTCCTGAGTAATTTGTGAGGAAATCTCAGATGGGAGCGGGGGTCCTGACTAAATTGCGAGGAAGTCACAGGTGGGAGCACCGATCCTGAGTAAATTGTGAAGAAGTCTCACGAGCGGGGGTCCTGGGTAAATCTGAGGAAGTCTCAGGCGGAAGTCGTTGATGTTGTAATCCGGGGGGCTGGGGGCCCGGTTTGAACACCAAGTCTTCCCCTGTCAAAAAAAAGGGTGCGAGCGTCGAGGGGCACACTTTGATTGAGAAACACAGTATGCACCGGTGATGGGGGATCAACAATAACTTTTCTTCAAATAAGATAGTTCAACAACAACAACAACATCAACAACAACAACATCACCAAGAACAACACAAACAACAGCAGCAGCAACAACAGCAGCACCAGCATCAACAACAACAGCAGCAACAATAACAACAATCATTTCAAGACTGTTCGCTCTTATATGCTCGAATGTCATTCAACGCGTGGTTCTTACATCCTCGACACCCACCCTCTTCGTCTTCGATCGTGCCCCGCTTGGGGGGGATATCTTTCTTCTCTGCAGGCCGGGCCCTGGCAAGCGGCGGGGCGGCCGTGGACCGTCGGCCTGGCCAGCGGCAGCGCTGATCGGCGCCAACCCGACCCCAAGAGGGACGGACATGGGACCGACCACGACAACGACGACGACAACAACGAGGACGACGACGAGCGGAAGCGCGAGCGAGAGCGACAGCGGGACCACGAAGGGCAGTAATGGGGCCACGAAGGGCAGCAAGAGGGCCACGAAGGGCGACAGCGGGGCCACGCACGGCCACGAAGGGCGCGAACGAGCGGGGGCCACGAAGGGCAAGTGATGCGGGGCCACAGAAGGGCAACTACGGGGCCACTGCGGGCAGCAACGGGGCCGCGTAGGGCAGCAACGGGGCCATAAAGGGCGACACCGGGGCTACGAAGGGCATGCATATGGGACCACGACGGGCGCGAACGAGCGGGGGCCACGAAGGGCATACGTAGATTGGGCCGCAGAGGGCAATGACGGGGCCACTGAGGGCAGCGACGGGACCACAAAGGACAGCGAGGGGACCACGAAGGGCGACAGCGGGGCCACGAAGCGCATGCATATGGAGCCACGACGGGCGCGAATGAGCGG